CGGCTGTGAAGCAACTGGGTTTAAATTAGTTTGCCCGCCGGCACGTGTGCACTAGCAGGAGTTGTGCCGCCATCAACTTCCATAGCATATGATGTTCCCCAAAATGTTGCTGAATAAAATCAGTTTACTGAATCAACGAATAGCTTAATCAAACATACGCTATTTTTGGGAGGTCCCAAATTCCATTGGATCCCCAGGTGGTGGATGCGGGGGACGGGCAGCTGCATCCATCCATTAAAGGTCCATATATGATCGGTGCAGGGAGACACTGAGCATCGGATTCAATACAAATTTGGTAGGAATTATGAAGTTTGTCTCAGAGGAACACCACCTGTACCCTATTTTTGCCTTAGCGTTTTACCGTGAGCGGGTAGAGACTGCTAGGCTGTAGGGTGTGCACAGCTGCACCCTTAAACACTCTGGAGTAACAACTAGTCGCATATAGCATTTAGCACACGCATAGAACATTGCGTCTTCTTTGTACCGAGCTAATGTGCCTCTGTGGTAAGTAGGATATGTGAACCCAACCATTTAACTGTGTACTAATTTTTCGTAAAACACAACCGGTGAATTAGAAAGTATTGGAGTGTAGCTATGCCTACTACGGACAAGCCCACCATTCCTAGAATCTAAGAACAAGATTGGAGGACAAAACAATAGTAGATAAGCACAAGATTTGTCAAACACTTTCCAATATATTACATTACACACTCCCGGATCCACCAATGCACGGAGACTTCAATCACTGCTTTCGAGCACGCGGCATTGTGTACCAGAATGTCATGGATTCTATTATTATTATGGATCCAAAATTGCCACCGATCTCTTCTCCGAATTACACAGAAGATCCTTTGCCCGAACTAATATATAATTTCTACATTTAGTAGCGCACAATGAGTTTCTGCTCGTATCTAATGCATCCATAATGTGTGCCCAGACTCTATATCCCAAAATGAGCGTGCTGCGCTCGCGCACACCGAATTTTTCTTCTGGGGTATTCTGCGGCATTAGAATAGGAATATCCGTCAGCTCTGTTATTTTCTTCAGGAGGGGATAAAAGCGACCGCAATGGTCTGCGTTATGAAAGGTAGCCTGTAGAAGTCCCTACTGACGGCTAGAGGCTCCTGGTGAGATACAGTCGGAGGTGCCCTTTGGAATGTAGGCGAAGACAATTGTGTGTGAAAATATGACGTAACACATAATTCTGCTTAAAGTATGGTGCTCAACAGCTCCTGACACCTGTCGTGTTGTATTTTAGCTGCATCTCTCTCCTACGAAAGTTTGACGCGAGCTTCCGGCGACGCGCATCATTCTGCTCGAAGAGATAGCGGTACTTTTCCTGGGAGTGAAGCTGGTTTTGCAAGCATGTCGGATATTCATACTTGTAAGCTTTACCTGGAATTGACCCACCCCACAGTTGAGTGTACAGTCCGTTCCACCGCTGTTGCAGCCTCGCCCTTGTCGGAGATGTTTGAACGTGCTTTCTTTACACATTGCAGAGAGTCCACGCATATCGTGATTCTAGCTGTTTTTTTGAGCTATGTATGCATGCAAATTCTTTGAACACATGGATTTCTGTCGCTGAACGGGCGGAAAAATGAAGGAATCCGGAGGCACTGGTTACTAGAGAAGCAAAGCATGACAGCAGAATGCACTGTGACGCAGAGCTGGAGAGGACGCCAGATGCTGCCAGCATTTGACCCATGCTGAGAAAGTGCGTCTTATTTCCTGTCCTGCAGCCGGTTGGGTCTTGCAACCCGGGCACCTTGGGGAAGTTGCCATGCTTTCATTAAACGCAGCCTCCTCTCCGGGGGGAAGGAGGCTTCGGTCTGTACAGCCGAATGCTATAAGTGTAGCCTGCCTAAGTGCCGAGGATTTCGAAGCCCAGAGTCTTAACCTTGTCCTCCGGTGTCTCAGCGAGCTGATGGATGCAAATCCTTTTAAGCAGCTCGTTGTGGGGGTGTCAGGTAAGATCCCTTGGTATAAACCACACAATTTGTTGGCTGACGCAATAATTCCGTTTTTCTAGTAGCTCTAAATAGCTTTTTGCTGTGGTCGTTTTAATGCGGTTTGCCGTATTCGTGGTACCCCATCCATAAGCCATGTGCTATCGTTGGATATTAGGCGGCTCTACTCCGGGACCCCTGTACGCGGCGCTCAGACAAACAGCGTTAGAATATTTCCAAAGACAACACGGACAGCGGCGGTCAATGAGTCCACAGCAGTCAGGAAGTTCGTTGCATGCAACTCTAGACTTTTCACGCATTAGCTTCTTCCTCGTTGATGAACGATACGTCCAACCAACTGACAAGAAATCTAATGTCCGTCTCGTTATGGAAGAACTCTTTGGTCAAGAGGTGTGGAGTGACCCTGACTTGGACGATGCCAAAAAGTTCAGGCCGACGGCTGCTGCATGGCCCAATGCCAATATCGATTTCTGTTACCCCGATACATCTTTGCCCTTGGACCAGTGTGTTGAAAAGTATAGGCAGGTATGCCTTGTATGACTGCCTAGATATCAATTTATTTCTCTAACTATCTGATTCAATTGGCACTTTTGCTTGAGTAGTTAATCATTAGGAGTGAACGTATCTGGATGAGCGGAGGCGGCTCCATGTTGACAGACATTCACCGGCAGCTGTGATGCAGCATACATATCGTTTCCTTTTGTAGCTCTCTTTACAGGCCTGGTAGGCTGCCTCGCGGCAACCACAGGCTACTTGTGGAATGCGACCCACTTCGTGAGGTTCTCAGGATTTGAGTAACTTGCTTCGGAGGCATGGCGGCGTAGATCTCGTCCTGTTGGGCATGGGAGATGATGGACACATAGCTTCAATCTTCCCTCCCTTAACTCCGACGCAGTATGAAGCAGCGACATGCCCCCGCACTCTCGTTGTTCACTCTACAACAGACCGGTGAGCAAAATTAGCTAGATCACGTGTGAAGCTTGGATGAACGTGCGCCTCAAAGTGTGATGCAACGCGTAGAGTGCATTAATCGTGCGCCTTTCCGACAGTTTCGACGTACATGATCGTATTTCGGTCACTTTAAATGTCCTCACCGGGGCAAGCCGCAAAGTCTTTTTGATCAAGGGAGAGTCTAAGCTGGACACATGGTTCCGCATGGAGGCTGAAATGGATCAGGTACGCCTAGCACGTTGCTCTTGCTCCCGCTTGGCCAGAGGTCTTATACCGATTCCTTTCTAGACTCTTTGCTCCAATGCAGTACTCTCCTTCTGGCGAACAATGTGCAGTCACCACTTCGTTACCCCGCCCTTGAAGTGATTTATAGCGGAGGGTCCTACGTGGTTTCCTTTCCGTCAATTGACGATTTCGCTAACAGAAGGCGGAAAAATGCAAGGCTTTCGCAAGCCCAAATAGCACACTCTGCTGCACTTGAAATGCGCCATCTTTCTGTTGTGATTTTTGGAGCGAGCGGGGACCTTGCCAAAAGAAAGACCTAGTGAGCAAATTAATCGCGATATGCTGTGCATTTGCGCGGCTGCCTACGAGTCATATAACATGCAGTGCGGATTGAATAGTACGGACTTGTTCACTTGAGATTCAAAAAAGTGCAATATGAGGGTTCTACTCTGTCAACTCATTTCTCAGCCCCGCTCTCTTCAGCCTTTTCTGCGAAGGGCTCCTTCCTCCCAACGTACACGTCGTGGTAGGCAAGAGTTCACAGCTTTAGGTACAATCGTACTGGTGTTTATGAACCATTAGATAAGATGTCCGCTGCTCACCACAGCAGTGTCAACATTTTGTGAGTCTCAATCTCCAAGAATTCATTCTCTTTATCCCTGCTGTATGTTATATTTGTGTAGGGGTTTGCGCGTTCAAGGCTAGACTTCGAGGAATTCTGGAAGCAAATCGCAGATAATCTTGCGTGTGTTCGTACACTAACAAATGTTTGTATGATGATTTTAGCCATTTAGCAAACGAGCAATGTACACTAGTCCTGGGACGAACTCTTACAAATAATGTGTGTGGAAGGTCGTTTCTTCGTTGTTCATGTGTTCCTAAGGCAGCAATGTACTACTTGTTGCTTGTTAGTGGGTCCTCAGGGAATTGTCTACTTACTTCTCCCGTCAAGTGGCTCCTTTAAGTCACAAATGCGAGGACCTCGTGCAGCGCTTTAAAGGCATCTGCTCATATATGTAAGCGGACAAGACCACGCTACTCTCGACTGACCTCCGGGTTGTCAGCCAGGAACACAAGTGAATTTCACAAGAAGTGTTTTGCAAGCTTAGTCCCTATATTCCCGAAGAGCTATAAAAAACAACAAAGACCACGCCGACTTGACACAAGCACAGCGTAGTCGCGGGATGTTCAGAGTTGTACGGCTGCGTATTGTTACCTGTTCTCAGGAGTGGAGAAAGCTACGACGATGGCGACGCACTTGAAAAGCTTAGCAAACACCTAGGATCTCTTGAGGCTCTGGAAGGCAGCAACAACAGGCTTTTCTATTTAGCGCTTCCACCGCAAGCTTTTGCATTAACGACGCGAGCACTGAGGGAACACTGCTGGGCGGTGAAGGGTAGGTCTTATTCTGTCGACCATCGCGAGCAAGCTCGGTGTTCTGGACATTTACAGTACCACACGCGAGTTTACAGCTTGCCTGCGTGTGCAGCTGTGGGTGAATTGTCAAGCCTTTTACTGGAGCACGGCGGAAGGCATTGCCAGGCTTATTGCAATATTTACATGTTTACCCTTCGAATATCGAAACCGTCCTCACAGCTTCTGGTTTCCTTAGGTTGGAATAGAGTAGTGGTGGAAAAACCATTCGGACGGGACAGCATAAGCTCGGAAGAGTTGTCCAACGAGCTTATGAAGGTCTTACAGGAGCAGGAGGTAAGGCCCAGGGGAAGCCCTTGCACAGATGCAGTGCTTCGATTTCTCCTCACAGCTCATCTAGGATGCATGTAAGCCTGTAAGGGGAAGCGACACTACATTCGAGCACTCGATCGAGTTTTTTTTTTCATCCAGATCTACCGCATTGACCACTACCTTGGCAAAGAGATGGCGCTTTCCATTATCTCCTTCCGTTTTGCTAATATCGCCTTCAAGCCGGTACGCAACTTACCGGAGGGTGGAGCCTGTTTGTGGACAAAGCTAGTGCAGTTTAAATACTCACTGAACCGCAGCTTTTCCTCCATGCATTGTGGCTTTGGAAAGCAGTGTGAAGAGCGCCAGCCCTGTGCAACTGCTGAGCGAATGTTTCATATGCAGCTTTTCCATAGGCACAACGTACGGTGTGTCCGCATTACTGTCAAAGAAGATATTGGAACCAAAGGGCGTGGCGGGTATTTCAATAGCTACGGTGAGGCCAAACTCTGCGGCCAGTTATAGAGATGTGAATGAATTTGCTACAAGATACCGAGAACCCTGCTAGGAAGCATGCTTTTGCGTGATGCAGGAATCATACGAGACGTGATGCAGAACCACATGCTGCAGCTTTTGACACTAATCGCCATGGAGCCCCCTGTATCGTTAAGCGATGAAGATGTCCGCGATGAAAAGGTTAAGGTGTTGAAGCAGATGCCCCCTATCAGTGCGTTACACCATGCTATTTGGCAGCAATACGCCCGAGGACTAAGCTATCGTTAGCCAATGAAAAACCTTGTTTATGGGGCTGCAGAATCATGCACTACTTGCGAGGAACAGAGTGCGTCATGTGGCTTTTGTTTACGCGGTTCCTCGCAGAACTGGAAGAGACTATCTTGGGGCAGTATACGGCCTCGTTGGACGGTTCTCAACCCGGCTATTTAGATGTATGTAATGCTTCCAAGTAATTCGTTACCCTCAAGGGTTGTTTGCCGAAGTCGAATAAGTGCCGGGCACTTGGATGCAACATGTCTTCCTTCAGGATCCTTCGGTCCCGCAAGGCTCTAGGACGCCGACGTTCTGCACGTGTGCGCTTTGGATCGAGAACGAAAGATGGCGAGACGTTCCTTTTATATTTAAAGTAAAGTAAACCGTCGAACATACAGGCTTCCTACGACAATCTTTGAGCCTAAGCGCCATAGCGGAGTGCCTTTTGCATGAAAGTGCAACAATGTTGCGTATTATGTTTTGCGCCTTCATAGGCAGGGAAAGCTTTGGAGAAGCGCTCTACGGAGATTCGCATTCAGTTACGCCCTATCGCACAGGCATTCTACCCTGAAGAGGATCTCGCAGAAAACGAACTCGTCATAATCGTAAGCAGTTACCTTTTAAGCTATTCCCGGGGTCGTGCTATGAGTTCTATATCCAGACACAGCACCCACCAGCCTTGTGTATGATCTTTCACATCAGCGATAACTACTAAGCTTGTGGGAAACGTGGTTCTCTCAGGTACAGCCCCGTGAAGCCATTTACCTGAAATTCTATACAAAGAAGCCGGGGCTAGCCCCGGGACTTCAATTAACTGAACTCGATCTCTCTGGTAAATACCATGAATCACCCTGCAAAAAGAGTATTAAGTCGCTTACTTGCCTGGTAGCATATATTTACCGGAGTTGAACATGCGGCATCGCTGTTCTGTACCTGCTGTGGTTGCAAACTGCAGTGATGGACCGGCTACAAGTTGATCGCCTTCCGGATGCCTACGAACGCTTGCTGCTTGATGTAATTAAGGGAGACAAACAAAATTTCGTCCGAACAGGTTCGAATTTCGGGACCCTGTGACGGTTCGACCGTTTTTCATCACACGGGTTTGCAGCGTACAAGGAAACACAGTTATGCAGACATGAGCCCCCCGTATTGGTTCTACTACTTTTGCTGCAGATGAACTGCGTGAAGCATGGCGCATTTTTACTCCACTGCTGAAGCAGATTGAAGAGACTGGAATCATGCCAGAGCCGTACCCATACGGTTCTCACGGTCCCGAGTCCGCATACGCCTTCATCCAGGGCTTTTACTCCTACCATAAGGAAGCACGTTACCAGTGGCATGCGAAACACTAAATGACAAGATTTCGCACTTGCGGACTCGTCTTTCTTGAAGTTACCCCCCAAGTGTCCATACCAGCGGGGCAAAGAAGTGGTATGGCCGCGAAAATACTCTGGGAAACTTTTTCCCTGAGTTGATAATGTGGCTGATATAAAAAACGGGATTCACCGGATAACTGCATGTGATATGCAGCAGAGAGGTCAAATTAATTCCTGTCGAATATATATTCGGAGCAGAAACGACTTCCATTCGCCATTATCTCCGTGTTCTTGAATTACCTGCCCATATTGCTGGAAATCCAGGAACTATTTTGGGCACGATGCGGCCAGTTGCCGTTCTAATCACTATGCAGTACTTCGGCGCTTTCATAAATCCGCGTCAAGTCAGGTATAAGCATGCTCATACCAATCGCGACGCACCCGAAACTGGTGCTCCCCTTGCAAAGTGGCATGTTTCCAGGTAACCCGTGAGTAATTACACTTGCTTTGAGTATACAAGTAGTGCTGCGTTGAATCAATCAAGCACCAAAAGTTTTGTTAATCCACCCCCGATCACCTGCGATGCGAGGGTGGCAGCAGTACGCATCAAGTAGTAGCATCAAGTAAACACCATGGAAGTTGTACATAGGCGCTTCTAGCTTCCTTGTTCAAAGGCTACTCAGTTACAGTGCTAAGAAATGCACAGACGGCGCGCTTGAGTGGACTCGAGTAATCCTATAAGCTCTAGGAGCAGCCTGTTTACAGGGGCTTTCAACCCGATCAGGTTGGCTTCCCGGATGACTGCGCAATCGCAGCAAAACACTTTCACAGGCCGTTTGATTCCACCACCCATTGCACTGGTTACTCGATGTTCACTAGTATTCAGACAGAGCCCTACCTTCTCCAGAAATATCTACTAACTCAGTCGGACGACCCTCCTGGAGCTGGCCTAACGTGGAAGACGAATTCTCCATAGTGGCGCAGGCGACATCAAGGGCCGCGGCAGAGGCAGATGCCTGAGGCCTCAGCAATACGAGCCCACAGTATGAGATGCATACGTATCACAAGTTTTAGTAGTCTGCCTTAGAACACACCTTGAGTGACGTCGACTGCCGTGCGCCTACATGCCATTAGGAACGTACAAATGTCAGCGGGATACCCTTTCCCCTAGCAACAGCCACGACCTCCGACACCACGAGTTTCCTGAAAAGCCAGTGTTTACATACTACCAGGCAAATTTGAGTGTAAATGCATCAAGCATCGTGAAAATGCATAAAGAATGGATGTGCCGGGGCACTGTACGAAGTGGACGTGGCATGTAGGGTCAGTCTGGTCATACCGGGCAAGTTCCAAACGAGGATCGGTAAGCTGGCCATTCGTGCAGTTTAGTAGAGCAGAAATAGGGTTAATAAAGCAGTTAACTGCTGCTTTTTCCCACAGAATTTCGTCTAGCCGATGACATGGCAAGAGCTCACAGCGAATACCTACGCGTGAGACAGTAACACAAATACGGTTGATGCCCGCTTGTGACACCAGAAGCGAATCCATAGTTGCACTGTTGGTTACCTTACGGTGACTAAGTCACAAATCATTTGAGTCAAAGGCTTGGCGCTTCGGATATTGCGAAGCTGATTACCTCTAGAGATTAAAATAGAATGCAACTCTCCAGCCTTTTGCGATGCTCTCCAAAGATGTCCGCATATCTTCACATTACCTTTGCCAACTTCCTGAACAAGAAGGGGTGCCTGGAGGCACATTTGACACAGCAGCGGAAGACCCTCCGAATTCAAGCGGCGGCATGGTTCCCCTAAGAGGTTTTAGAAACAAGATGCTGAACTACCTGACGTTATCAGGACGCAAAAAGTATGAATCCATTCCTCCCCCACACCGTCACAGCTGGAGAACAGTGAACATCTCTTAACTAAGAAGTCAGTAACCGCGAAAAGCCCCACTGTCATTTGTGGCATTATGATAGGAGGCCGAGTAGATGGGTACGGTGTCCATTGCAATAAAAGGTGCCGTCAACTTTCGCAAGCATACCTTTTCCACTGCAGCAAGGGATGTTGGCATAAACAAAAGCGCGGGAGGTTCACCCTGAGGGCACAAGCCGCACAGATACTACTAGCACTATGCGATCGCTCTTGACCATCATAGGATACTCCGACTTTCATATTAAAACTAGAGTTGACCAGCTGACATACGCCGGATTGCAGCTGCCGATCATGTAGTGCTCGTAATATGCGGGGGGCTTTAAGTCCATTTTGCAACGAAGCCACCATGCCGCCAGCGCGCGCCATGCGGAAAGCTGACTCTGCTGCGCAAATGCAACCCAACGGTGAGCTGGAGAAGTGTACCAATATGAAGGTGCACACTTTACGGAATCTAGTCTATGAGTGTGTGTGTGTGTGCCGATGTCTCATAGATACATTAAAACCAATGCCAACACAAGCCAATTGCACAGCTTAGGCGATGTAACGCACCTATGTTTTGTGTGGCGGCAGAGTGACATGCAATTATGACCAGGTCATATGTGTAACGGAGCTTGTCAGCAGTACTGTGAGAAATCACCTTTATCAGCCGCTGCTCCCCATTGCCTGCGGCACCCAATGGATTTTCTGCTATGCTTGCCAGCGTAGAGCTGTGTGTGCGGTCATTGCTAGGACTGCTGGAAGTGGTCGGTGGTCCATGTGATCGAATAACACTTAAGCGCCCTCCGTTTTGATTAGATGCAGCAACCAAGTCTTTTCTTGAGGTACAGATGGTTACTTCAATGCCGTACATTTGCTTTTGTTGCCATCCTGCATGACCGTGCTGATCCGTAGCCAATATTTGAGGTGAACCAGCAAGGATCCACGCAAAGAGCTGCCCCATGCGGCCACCACCCCATACGCACACCTTATAAGGGCCTGATGAATCCGTTTCTTGGGGGACGTCAGAGCTTTTTGTTTCAGCAGAGTACTGCTTGGTTGAGCCCAAAGTCACAGAGCTGCTGATGCCACCTCCTCGTTCGGCGATCGTGCTTGAGTCTGCTGAAGTTGATGTCCGGTGCGCGCATGTATCAGCAAACTTTTCACCTTCTCCCGGTCTCATAGGAGTCGAATTGCACTGTTGAGGAAATGAACCCTGTACCACCTCACTTCTGAAAGTTCCCAAAGCCGAAACTGCCATATCATAGAGGTTCGCATATCTGTTTAGAAACACGCTCCACGCAGAACCCTAAAGAACCGCTTATGCAAGCAACTAGCTGAGCCAGGGCATGAAAAGCGCTCAAAATCCCTAATGGACTTCAGCGCAGCAACTTGCAAGATCGAGGATCCATAGCCAAATATATGTATATGTATATATATAGTTTCTACTGCCCTAAGCCACATAGATGTGTATGTATATATACATGTATAGTTTCTACTGCCCCTTACCTTTTGGCGAATTTATATTGCGCGGCACCAGGGCCACAGAGCCCCAGCATATCATGGATTACTAACACTTGGCCATCACACCCTACACCTAAGAGCGCACATGCATTTTTGTGACCACCACGGTAGAATCAGAAGCAAAGTGACCCACATAGCAGTTGCCAGTTCGCACTAAGCTGCATTGCGTCTTTCGCTAAGACATGCCATGTGCAGTTCAACATGTGATCGTTAAGGAACTAACGGCAAGTGCTTTTGCCCTGACTAAGTCAAACCTGCTCCAATGCCGATTGTGGGGATGCGAAGGCTGCGAGAGATATGCTCTGCCGCCTCGGTACAAACCATCTCCAGTACTAGCATTGCCGCGCCTTCATCCGGAAACACACAGGCTCGGAATATAATTAAATGACACAGTTGCAAACAAATATTACTAGTACCCTGAAATTTATGCTCTGAAACGCCTTATACACATATGGACTTTTTCGTCTTCGATCAAGACAAAGTAGGGCTTGCTGCTAGAGGTATGACATATGGTAACCCTACTCACCTGCATCTTGCAAGTCAAGTGCCTGTTGTAAAAGCCGTTCGGCATCCTCTGCTGTGCCACCTGCGCAAAATGAGTCACAACCAAGTAGCCTTCAGGCCCTTTGGGAATTAGACTCACGGAAGTTAACCGACACATGACGCCTGCATGGACGAAACAGGGCTTGGCCTCACCTGCAGTCACAAACGACGTGGCAGTCTGAGGTAGCAAACCAAGGTGGCAACACACTGCCGCATACTTGGACACCTCCTGCATAACAAAGTGACCTTGAAGGACAAAAGCCGAAATTCTGCATCAGTCGGAGGGCTAGTAGTACGCACTCGGGAGGAGCGTCAAATCGCACTCCTGCACAAAAGCCTGGATGTGATTTGTAATATTATAAGTCCAAAACCCTTGCCTTGACAACCTCCGGAAGGTAACCTTCCAGCTTGACCACCTGAATACCCGTCTCCTGAACGACTTTGATGGTTGCTGCAACTGCCTGCTCTGGTGTGCTGTATGTGCCGTATGGAAGGTCGAACACAACAAGCGATCGTCTAGTGCCTTCAAACAACCGCACTCAAACATCCCATGGCTTCCCGATGGTGTTAATGAAAAAACGATACGGAACTGATTCAAACATTCCTGTCCCCTTTACAACATTCACAAAGACCACGGATGCTATTCGACAAAACTGATGTAGCATACCCTTGGTTACAAGCTTGGCGAACAGGATCATTGTGTCCAGATCAACCGCCGCTGTCCGGGACTCCCCTGCATGCATTACATAGTCAGCTACATACACACACTGTTGCAGTTGAGCCTACTGCAGGAAGCCAATTATTTTTAAAGCTCTCTGCAGCCCTCCTTTTCGGGGACACCTACCCAGAACAACGTTCGCGAGGGAATCACCGACTAACAGGATATCGACCATGGCATCGTCGGCTACGCGGGATGTAAATAAATCATATGCCTGCACAGAATGCCTCAGAAGGAAGCCAACCTTCCCAAAATGCACGCCATAGCACAGCAGCCGTTGCGTGGGGCCTTCCTCTAGTATCCAATACAGCCTGATGCCTGTAATTGCGCAGAAGCCCAATTAGCAGTCGGCTGGACGGTTGTGTATACTTAGTTATGACATGTCAAGCTTTCATTTTGCTTGTCTCTCAAGGGTGCACCGGCGTACTGTGCACATCACAATCTTTTCATGGCGGCTCTTCTTCTTCAATACTTGACTCAATGTGATAGGTTTTAAGCCATGCATCTGATGAAGGGAAGTGCACGCCCCAGGCCCCCATGTCTGGTCATCAGCATTGGCTCCAGATATCCCGTAAAAGCTGCTCATTGTTCAGTGTGTGCTGTGTGGTCCAATAAAAAATGAAGAGTCCCATAAATGACTGGATGTTGTACAAAATGACGCGAACCCCTGCTGGAATGCCGACCAGGGTATCCGATGAGACAGTTTTTACGTTAATGCTATTTGAATTTGGGGATTTACGAAGATAGGGAGAGCGCGCTGTCGCTGGATCGAGTGGTGCTTTGCTTAGGGCCTCCTTGATAGTCAAGGCTTGACGATGCACGCAACGAGCACCAAATATGCCACTGTGCATGTATATTGTGTTTTAGGATTATCCTTTCTCTGCCCGCCGCACTATGACTAGCATGAGACAAGTGGCCCACAGCGCCTTGGGGCTGCAACTCCTCCAGAATATCTACGACGATGCCAGACACCCCGGCGCAAAAACCCCTCTTTCAAAGCAACAAATCTCATCTGGAAACAGGTCAAACCATACACATTTACCTTGGAGATTCAAGGCTGGACATATTCCAGCTTTTTGCGGACTAATTTTGCACGCACAGTGATTTCGGAGGCTCGTGGCTCATGTCATTACCAGAACCAGCGAGCTACTTTAACGCATTTTTGTTTCTTTTAATGAAAGCTATGTCTACCTGTTTAGTGGGCGGGTAATGCAATGCAATAATACCCGACTCCCGCACAACAGCGGTTCCTGTTGATGGCCACAACAAGCAAAATTCTCAGTGTGAAGTATTACCAAAGAAACGTGCCTTCAGTCTCCGGCTCTTACCTGGAAACTTGCATATAATTAGTCAGACACAGTCTCTGGCTCTTTAGCGGTAGTGTGCGGAAGCTTTCGATAGCACCGACAACCACTCGCTCAGTCCAGGAATACTGGGCATAGCTGTCCTCCACTGTCCTTGATATCCGGTGTACCCCCTTTCAAAATTGGATCCACAAAAAATTCGCTATCAAAGCTTCGTGAATTTGATTAACCTTCGTTTTCAAGAATTTCGTTCGTTGAGAATTAGCGGCTGAATTCGCCAGTCGACTACAACTGCACCCTAAATGCGACGAAATAAATCTGGGCAGGCAAGGTTGCGGGGCTGCACAACTGAAAAAGGGTTCTTCCGGCTGCAGGAGCTCATCAGGCTTATGTCACGGGACGCATGTGGCGATGTAAAAGTATCTATGTGAAAATTTCAGTAACCCAGCAGTAAGCTGCTACTTACGATGCAATCGAAGTTTTCTCAGTGCATACCATATCTGTATGCATTGGAGGAAATTGCTTTGTGCAGGTATGCTTTTTGTGGTACAGTAGACAAACTGAGAACTCGGCCTGGATCTACGCTTGTTCCCCTGGCTCCAAATTGAATGATCCAAAACTTTGATAGTTCAGTGCTCTTATTCATACTACATGTGGCACCTTGTAGTGTAAAGATATCTGATGACCTTACTGTTCTTCACTTTGAACCCAGAGTGCCATGCCTTTCTTTCATTGCCTGCAACAGGTTTTTCACATTGCACGTGCATTCTGGGAGAAGCGATTAGGCTGCGATTCATGCCATAAAATGATCGCCAATACTACAATGCATTTCGGACATTATATAAAGCAGGCTGATGTTCACTCTTTGAATGCAAACCTGCACGAACCCTACAGGCACAACGGTTTCAATACAGTGTGTCGGTGGACAGTATGCATATTCTACTATCCTCCGAGAATCCCTTGGAGAAATGCATCTGCTAAGAAGACAAAACACTTAGTAATGGGTATGATGAAGCAGTAGTCATGGTCCAGGTGCTGGGATCCTCCATGGGTACAGTTGGAGCACCTCGCCCAAAGGAATGCGGTAGCTGGCGGTACTGGGAAAATTGGCGGGGACAGAAAAAAGAGCTAGCGGAAAGGACTATGATATATTCAGCCTCTTCCACCGCAAATGTAAGTAGTGTCTACTCGTTCTCGCACCAAATTTGGTGGGGAAAAGCAAGTAAAGTACACCATTTTCAATGATCATGAATTTAAATGGACTTCTTGACTTGCTGGCTAACAGCACGCTTTAAGAGCTATTTTTTCCCAGTATGTATAGGTGACGTGCACAATCTTTTGATGTCGTTTAAAAAAAGTGGCTGAGGCATCCAGATATGTTCATTCCCAAGCGTGCTACTGTAGGAGGCACCGACGTAGCACTTAGCTTTGTCGAAAATCGAAAGTATATCCATATACGCTGGACACTCTCGTAGACAGGCACTTAAAAGACCACTACACCAGCAGTAACGCACGTCAACGCTACCCAATGAATCACCACCAGTAGGTAATCCGAGAGAAACAATTTGTTGTCTATTCCTTATAGCCGGTTAATTCATAGGTATTGTCTAAAATATCACTAAATTCTTGCATTTACTCATATCTTTCCACTGGATTCTTATCCTAACACTAATTTCATGGTGTAACCAACGCATGGTGTGACTTGAACCAGCTTGGCTTGCGCTCGGAGGAAGCTTCAATTTGTTCTTGCTCAAAGTGGTCACGCTGAGTCCCGTCGTAGATCATCTGCTTAGTTTCATCGAGAACTATTGTGGGTGTACCGGGAGAAGGTACACTTACTAAGTACACTTAAACACGTTTAAATACACTACATTTACTCCACTCTTCACTAATTTTTATTCTAGTCGTTTTAACTGTTCGTCAGTCGGGTTGGTTGCAGAGTAGGTCTTGTTCATGACAGTTGAGTTCAATGCTGAGTGCTTGTGCGCTAGTTGGGTTTTGTGGCTAGTTTTGAGTGATTGGAGTGCTTGAAGGGTGCAACGATGCGCATTCTAGCTGTTCCTCTACCTCATGGCGGAGCCCTAGGGGTGAGGGGATGAACTCAGGGGAATCTTTTCCGAAGACACTCAATGACTCTATAGCACGTTTTGTATTTGGGTTGGACCTAAATGCCTCTCAAGAAAAATCCTGAGTAGAGGTTACACTCACAAAGGGCCACTAAAACAATCGTATGTGATATGGTGCGGGCCAAGGGTGCCTGATGCATGCTGATCGAAGAACCGGCAGGAATTTTGCCACACATCGTGGGAATGCACTCTTGGAAGATCCTAAACCAGGCAGCGTTGCCTGAGCCAGGGATTCTAGCAGCTTTATGTGAGGACAGCAGGAGTGCTGCTACTGATTTGTCCAAATTGTGCGTATAGGCTCTACGACATCCACATTATGTGTTTAAGTGCCAGGTGAAAACAGTGGTGGTGGAAGATAATCTTAGTGGACTTACGGGGGTGGGACATTGTACATGATTGCCCATTTCAGCATGCAGAATGCACCGAGTTGCTGATGACCTCAGGAAAAAGTCGTTAGCTCTAGTGCATGACATGCGATATCCACAATGGTACATCATGCAACGAAACTGAAACTTTTCGCGACCAAACTGTGAATCCGACCGTGTTAAAGAATTAACATAGATATCATCTAGTGCTATTAGTACTAAACTATCACGTGAGTTGGTGAGCGTACAAACGGGCACCGAGATTAATCATGGGTATGCACCAAGACCATCGCTACCGTTGTGCATGCGGTGCCCGCACGATTGGTCAGCCCCTACCACATAGGAAAAAACCTGATGCCTTCTCGCCATACAAAGCTTGGAAAATTGTAATATAATATGTTGGGGACCTTTTACATTCATGTGATAATTGCTATTGTCCACCGTCTTTCCAGGGGCCCACGTAGCCCCACAAAGACTACTGCGAGAAAATTTCTGCTCGACCAATCCGAAGACAGCAACTATCTCTGCGATACCGCGTAGGGTATCGAGAAAAATCGTCTTATCCTATTTCCAAGGTCATACAGAGGGTTGGAGCTACTGAACTTTTTGGAACAATAGATCGCTTCTGTTCAAACACAGGGCCTTTCATTAAAAATAGCCAACATTGGTGTGCTTCGTGCAATTGCTGCGAAAAAATATGAATTGTACAAACCTGCGCACAGATTGCACTCATGGAAACCCAATTGTCGGTGCTCGTGAATGGAAACGCGAGCATCGCTTGCACTTGAACAGGTTGAAGGCAATAACTGCAAGCATCGACAATAGCAGGCCTTTCATGGGCAGTATTGAACATCACCAAAAAAGAATGCGTAAATCCTACATGATGTGCTCAAAAGAAAGGATGCAAGCTCATGAAAACTTCAAAATGCTAGCCACCATCGCCGCTACAATGAATCGCCCCTGTCCTCTGGTTCCAAAGGCTGCTGAAACCCGTAGCCTTAATATAGGCCTAAGGCGAAGGGAGCACTGGAAAATGCTTAGAGAAAATAAAGTAAGGTAAAGAGAAACAAACTGCTCAGCAATTAAAAATTTTTCACAACAGTATATGCGCATTAGACAAAGTCACAGTGTTTCTTGCATGCTTTCATGCCCCTCAGAAACTTCTGGAGCGCTTAGAGAGGTCTAGGCCACTAGTAGCTACGGCTGCTCAAGACCATCGAGATTTTTACGAACATCAGCGCCGCCTTATGCTATGCAGTTACAGCTGCCGTAGACTTGGGCGTCAGTGCCCTTCATCACCTCATACAACCATGCGGTTTGAAGGACAGTATCCTCGTGGTAGTCAGGCTGCTCCTAGACGACAGGATGAGGGGCATGCACCAAGGCACAAGGTATGCTGCGTTTTTGCCACTGTGACACAATATCAAAATAACAGGCCCTCCCACCAACCGATCGGCTGCGACTGCTAGTGCCTTCTTCCTTTCTGCTGCAGTTGGCGGAAAAGTGCTACATGCACCGCGATGCTCCACCCCATGTAACGACGGGATATTTTATGTCTCATGCGCCTCCGCTATCGTCATCAGCGCGGAAGCGCAAACAGTTCGACCTCAGATGGAAAGAGTTTAGGTGCTACCCTACATCACGGCAAATGTGGGCTCCACCGAAGGCTTTTACTCCAGAGAATGTACTGAAACCCATGAGCTATGCTTTCTGAGTTGGAGGGATAAACAGCTGAATGACTCTACAACATTACATGCCTTAGCTCTGCACTTCTTTAAAGTGCCTTTGACGCACAGAAACGATGGTATGAAGCTTTCCTCCATTTGCTGACATGCCAGTCCAAAAATTAATTATTGCATGCATGGGGTTACACGGTGCGTCGAACGACGCTGGTTTTCCTTAAGCCCTGATGCCCTGGTAATTGCTCCACTGCATACGAAATAAATCCTCCTCCAATATTCTTATAAGGCCGAGGGAAAAGCGTGTAACCCTGGTGGCACTGCATTGATTACCCCGAATACGTAAGCGTGCGCTTGTACTTTTTGTACAAATAAGCTGAGGGAAATCACTTGCATCAGTCTCACCTGCCCCAGTCCCGATGGGCTTATATCAGCGCTCCAATAATACTGTGTTTCTGACAGTTCGTCGATCGGACTGTTCACGGCAGCGGATCAATTTTTACTTAAGTTCAGTATTGGTGCGCTCGTGCAAGCTTTTTAGCACGAGCTGGGGCCGGAAAACACATCCTCTCCTCTGTGTTGGTTAAATCTATGATTAGAGTGCGTAAATATACTCGGGGAAGTTTGGCACTTACACGTTGATGGTTACCCTCCTGTACTCCGTAGATTTCCTTTCAAGGGCGGTGGGCGACGCGAAGCATTACCAGTTGCCCTTAAAAATGCACAAGGCTTTTAACAGTCTGGGATCCTGGCGAATGGACTGAATGCCTCTGAGAAGCTTCACCCACGATAACCGCCCGACTCAATGAAGGAACCAATGAAGGGGCATGGCGTCCACATCACAATCTTGCAGCTCGAGAATGAATTTGGAAAGAGCAGACTAGCTTTGCAAACGAAAAATCGAAACACTAAGCAAACCCCTAACTGAGTAAGCCGCTTTTATCCACGAGTCTGTCGCTCAATGCCCCCTAGTCCTTTTAGATAGCCGCTTGCAGACGACAAGCAGCAAAACCAGCGGACACACAGCTGAAGGGTAGGTGATCTACGCTCAATAATGGTATTTGCTTTATGTAGAGCCGCAATTGTATGCTTTCTTCGCCTTTGCTTTCCACGTGTTTGACGCTGTGGGGCCACCACCTTGAGGCCCTTCGATATCGACATCAGCATGCATACAGCGATATATATATGCATATATATCGAGCCAACACGTTTCATAGCAAATAGAGTCAACTTCGGAGCGTTTCTGTTGTCATCTGAGAAACTTTAAAGATTTATTTGGCTTTCAACTTCTCCTTAGCCCTCCACCATGGCAGCGTAACTTATCCAACTACGAGGAAGGTATCTCATTCAGCCCCTCGGAACCAGATATATCCTTACCCTTTCCTAAAAACAAAAGATGGCGGTGTTTCGATTAGATGTCTTCATTTCGTGGTGGCGTGAAATTGGACTCAAACTACGCCTTGCATACGCAGTGCATTACCAGCAAAAAGAATAATGATATACTTGCCCATTTGCGTGTTTGGCCGTCGTCGATTAAGCAAAATTACATTTACACATCTGTTCATGATTCTGTTGATGCTTTCTCCACGCAGACTTCGAAGCTGCAAACTACAGCCTAGTCTTGTTGGCCTGTTGTATGTTTGTGGGGCACGGGAGGATCACCGGATTTACCTACTCAGCATTTCCTCTCGAACACACCGCAAATGGCACGGGGAAAGCGCTGGTTCAGGGGAGCAGAACTTATGGGCAAAAGGCGAGCTGCGAAGTATCAGAGGGCAGCTGAAGCCGAACGGACTGTTAATTCCCAGCCACCAGCACATCCCTACAACGAGATCACATGCGACAATGCAGCATTTGAGGAATACTATAAGGTACGCTTCTGTTTTTCGATTCATGAACCCGAGTATCTGCATTCGGCGCGCTGCAGTTTTGTGAAGGGGTAGTCTATTGTAGAAACAGAGACACATATTTTACACTATCGGTGATTGAGTATATCGCATTAGAAGACAAGTTGCTTGTCTTGTAGATGCATTGATTTTGTAGTGAGAGATGTGTCTTTCAGGCGCAGGGTATTTGTGCTACTGAAGAATGGGACGACTTCATGGCGATCCAGCGACTCCGCTTGCCAGGTATGGCAAATCTGCTGCAAACTTCCGAGTTGATCATATTCAGAAGGGTTGAAGGCGATTTAGTACCTTAGTGCTACAGAGGACGTCATCAAACTCTAGGCCATAGATAACAACTTTAGGGCTGGTGGGGAAGGAGTAATCTAAATGGGTCATATAATAATCCTGCGCCTGATTTTTCAGCCGCTGTACGTGTAAATGTGTCTGCTCCACTTTGGAGGAGCACACGTGCTCTACTTTTAGGAATGAGCAGGAAAGAGGTACATTTTCCAACTGAGTCGTGTCTCCAGAATAACTGCCCCTAGACTTCAATGCATTGTTTACATATTTGCTCTAATGTATCCGAACTGATGTCCTCTCCATTTAACCAGAGGGCCACAGAATTTCCCAGGGAACTGACCCCTTTGCCGGAATAACTATGCGGCATCATATTCTGCAGGGAAAAGGCACCGTCAGACAGTTACAGTTCTTTCCACACCAACTCGCCTGTGAGCTTTCCCCAGCTTGAACAGACATCAATTTCTCTGGGGTAAAGGAGGCCGCGTGGAAGCACGTCCTATAAAAGAAGCAGTAGCGAAGTAGTCGCGAAGCCGCATGTGGGTACATGTGCGGGGTACAGGGCAATGGGATACTGCGAGCAAGGTCGATATGAAGAAAGACGAGGATTTTAGAGAGGTTCGCGAGCAGATCATTGATGAAGATTTCAGAGTGAGAGGAACTTTAGGGAGTCTGGCTTTGCTGTTCCCATGCTATCCACACACGATCCACTACACAGGTTTGCTATCGGGTGGTGCGTCAGGGAGAAGTAATATGCAATGTACTGCACGATGAAATGTACACTTATATGCATCGAAGCATAGCCTTAATGAGGCAAACACGTTACTAGTGTCCATGCTATGTGCAGGGAGCATTAACCAGACAAGAGGCTGTTAGTATGCTTCCCTGCCTCTTCTTAGATATTCAACCACACCACCTCGTGCTGGATATGTGCTCTTCTCCTGGTACGTGCGCCAGTTGTGCTAGAGTCCTATGTGGTTTGTTGGTCGTGGCTAAGTTATTTGTGTAAGTGTCCATGGATATGTATTTTGAGCAACGGGTTACGCCACCCTTGGACGCGGTGGCGTACCCTGCAGTGGCTGGCGCTGTTAGACATATTTATCTGTATGCAACGGCTGCACTTGTCAGGATCGAAAACATCTGAAATACTGGACATGCTCCAGTGGGAGGCTCAGCTGCGCGAGGCCAGGGACAGTGGGCTGTCAATTGGCATTCGACCGGTGGATGGTATGCGGTGACGCATTTAACAGACCCCTGTACACGTCGTCTTTGGACCGCAGCGACCGAGACTGAACTAGCGTTTACGGGGGATTTGTGGGCTCTTTCAAGGACGTGTTTGACACCATTGTGAACATCTGGCATGTTGAACGATGGTAACTGGGTTCACTACTCAGGGAATCCCTTTTTGCGTGCGCCTCAGGCGCAGTGGTCGCAAATGACGTTGACCTGAAGCGTGCGGTGACATTGACTCACCAAGTGCAGAAGTTAGCATCTCCTTCAGTGGCTGTCAGCTGCCTTGACGGTAAGCTTCGTGATACTGCAGCAGCATCAGTAGTGTACTTACAACCCGTGATGCTCTTCGCATGGCCGGTACACCAACATGACGCATCCTGTGTACTCCGCCCGTGCCTCAGCCACCTTCTTCCCGACGCTCCCCGAGGAAACAAACAATCCCTCAGAGAAGGTTGGTCAGCGGAGAGGTGTCATTTAGGCTACCTCTATTAAGTATGTGCTCTTGGAAGTGTCTTTCTACTGGGGCCGCTAACACGTGAGGGCTTGAACGAAGCCGTCTTTTATTCGTTGGCTGCACCCCTCTTATCCTCTGTCGAAACTAGGGAGCTGCTAACAAAACTAGGCTTCGAGCTATTTTGTGTCAAGTGGTTGTTCCTAGTGCCCTCAGGGAAAGCTGCAGTTCGACAGGATCCTAGGTGAGGCCCTTGCCAGCTGATTGCATTTACCTCGTGTTCGGCACGGAATGAAGAGTTCTATCAAAAGATGAAACGTCGGTTTCTGCTTGCCCGTTCGACTATGTGCATCAGCTGACGTGCCATGCAGTGGAGATGGAACTTTGCGGAAAAACATGGATATCTGGAGGAGCTGGAATACTGGCGGTGGCCACAGTATGCATGCAATTCAGGTATTGGTTCTGCGCACTAGGTGGTCCTCAAGGAAGTTCAACGAGTGAAGCATAGGCTTGCATAGGTTGTACATCCTGATTGTTCTGCTGTTGATATTTTAAGCGTTTAGCATGGGCATGCATACGGAGACGGTGGCATAGGAGAAGAACTAACCTGCATTCTGCCTGTGCTCACAGTTGTCCATTCTTTATCGAGGTCTCCAGTTGCTACGCATTGGTGGCAAAATTGTTTATTCAACCTGTTCAATGAACCCTTTAGAAGACGAGGTAAAGGCTGTTTTGAAAGCACGCCTACTTTCTTCCACTTTGCTGTTAATTTTAAGTTGTCTCACATTGTCCCTACTTATCTTCCACAGATATAGGGCACTTTTCCGCTCGTTGCTAGCCATACAAGGGTCTTCATTGATTTCAATCGATGTGCTTATTTGTGCTGCCTGAAGGCTGTTATTGCCACTGTCCTATCACAGCAGCACGGTCGTCTTGAGATTGTGGATCCTCCAGCACTTCCAGGTGTACTGAAGGCGCCCCCAGTCGCCGTTCCTACGTATCTGTTTATATATTAATGGCGTGTTTTGGTTCCTGATGCTTCATTTACAAAGCCAACATACATGCGTAGATGACTGCTATCTATGCCTGTTTGAGTACTGCACAGAACTCAAGTGGACAAGGGGCAAATCTTCGTGGCTGGTACCGTCTCCCCCAGCGAACCAGACTCAGTCAACTTCTAGGGGCTCAGCAGCGCCCATTGAATCAAGCGGCTGCAAGACGGCGTTCTACTGCACGTTCGATGAGGTTCCGGAAGGATTTCGTCACCGAATACGGTAGGCATACGCACGAGGTCCGTGCATCTCCCAGGTCCGTAATCGTCTGCAAGTTCACAAACGTGGCAAATAGCCGCATCCCTTTGCTATGTTCTCAGACCCACGATGTTTCCTCCGCCTGGTGCAGATTCAATGATGCTTGAGAAGTGTGTACGTATTTTGCCACATCACAACAATACTGGGGGATTCTTCGTTTGCTGCCTGCGCAAGCTGGCAGAGCTTGATTCGAGTAGTATCTTCATTAGCAACAAAAGTAAGGAAAAGGCGGCTACAGAGGTCAGGCAACAGGATCGTACATCTCTCCGAAAACAAGACTTCCGGAAGCGCTTCAAGTGTGCTGATACAAAAGCAATCCATAGTGGGCAGGATGCATCTTGCAATGCAAGGGAAAACATAGACGAATCCGCTACCTCTGTCGCCGCCAGTGCAGCGATACTAGAGCGCAATCCTTTGTTCGATGAAGAGCTATTGCCTGAAGGGTCTAGCGAACAAACACCTGCCACCCCAATGCACATCGATAATATCTCGGGGCGTGTTTCAACAGTACAACAGATGGCGGGTGAAGAAGACAGCCTATACGAGCTTGCTTCAGCAGCATCGAAGCCAGGGGGTCTTTTTCACCATCTACTTCCAGCAACTTGCGGTGCAGAAGGCCTGGAGGAAGTGCGACTGATTGTGGATTTCTTCGGGCTTAGCAGCAGAATACCGCTTGTAAGCCCGCTGTGCTGTATTCATTGCCAAGATGGCCCATTTGTTGTAAATCCTTGATTCTTCGGCTTGTAGCCATGCGCCTCCTTCACTGATGCCTTCAGCTCACCGACGACTTGCGGAACCCAGAAAGTGTTGCTTCCTTAGATCCGAATCTTCTTTTCCGTCGTGTGCATTCACGTAAGAAAATATTTCTCCTTTCGAAGAAATTAGCCGACCTAGTGAACAGCTGTTACCGGACGCCAGTTACGCGCTTTCACGCGAAGTTACCTTCCCCAAATCTCGACCAACCGAAAGAACTCCGTGTTCAGCTCCAAGCCCTTCTGGATAGTAAGATCAAATGGATGCACGCCGGCGCGACTGTTCTTGTCAAGCACAGTGAAAGCAATGCAGTCGAAGAACAAGGATTGGGTGCACGGGGATGGCGTGTTACCCAGGTGGGCTTTTCCCTGGTGTAGACTTCCTTTCGAAGGGGGAACGTGCAGGTGGCCACGCCAACTGGTGCGGGGCCTGTTGTATGGTGTGCTGTAGGAGGGAGCCGCGCTGATGGCTAGTTTCATGAGGCGGCGCATTATTTTCGTGAGTTTGGTAGTGGCGCGAATTTTGCTGCTACCGGAGGCAGGAGTTGTCAGGTCTTGCGAGCTTGAGGCCTTGGAAAAGCAACAGCAACTGCTCAATCTCGCTTCCTGCCGAAATCAGGACGGATCACTTGAAGGTGGGGAAAACCCGTGCAACACTTATTGCTAGTGTACTTGAGTAGACAAGCGACATTAGTTGCTAGTAAGTTCTGCAGTTGAGGTGATGGACAGCCATGCAAGGTTTTGGGTGTTGGCAGAGCTGTTCTTTCTTTGTTTTGTGTGTAGCTGGTGGAGCCATCTGCGTCATATGCCCTCCAACCTTTATTCCCCCTTCTGATGTTGCTGAAGTGGATTTATATCCGGCAGCGACAGCCTCACTGGGGAGTGAAGTCACCAGGCTGCATCATGACCTCGCAGCAAGATACCCTGTCAAGAATAATCCAAGCTTTACCAGTATAGCAGACAGCATCTGTGTTGCATGCATGATTACGAAAGGCGGAAACCTTCATGCGTATATGAACAAGAAGGAGTCACGAGCGCTGGCATGCCATCTGTTCCATCTGCCAAAGCAATGATGACAACAATCGCGAAACCTTGTCAGATAACGCAGTAGGGAACATATAAATGCAATTTATCAGTGTGCCCAGCACTACCTTATGCGACTTTGTGCTTCGAGTCGTCTTCACTGAACTTAACTGCAGTTTTGTCCTCTAGGCGAGCAGTCAACTAGCAATGCTAGTTGAGCGGCGTTCCACATCAATACTCATTAAGCCAGCAAAAACAAGGTGCAAGGGCGTTGTTGAATGTAAGCAGAATTTGCCATTCTCTGACTGCAATTTTGATGGTAGCAACAATTGCGGCCTTGATGACAAAAAAGCTGGCGAACCACCCGATGTACATAGCTCTTGATGCATAGTGAACACACGCCTATGTGGAGTGCAAAGATTACTCAGGAATAGAATAGACAGAAAAGGCCTAGCTTCTTAAGCTTGTCTACATTGCATAACACAATTTTTTGAAGCACTTCAGAGCGCATTGATCAGGACGCCGCAGGCGGATAGGGGAGCTCACACGTTCAATACGCTCAACCGTATCGAGCAACGCAAAAATAACGGAGCAGCGCAGTACAGCTGCTAGCACTTCTCTCGTCTACATTGATGCCCTTCCAGCTAGGGGGAACTAGTCCTTTTCGGGGTACCTCCAATCCCATCTCCAAAGCATAGACTACGGCTGGGATCTCGATGTAAGCGTTATTTCGAACGTGATTGTTATACCAACAAGCCATTGAACATTTTCACAAAATGCGTTTTAGCAAACTAAAGAGGCATAGCCTGGCTGTAATCTGAGCCTACAATCTCAGGCTAGCCGTGCGACGAAACTGTACAATACACCGAGCGCCGCACGGGGTACAGAAACGTGAGATACAGCTTCTCGCTAGAGCAATTAAGTCTAGGCAAGAATGGAAAACCTATGGCCCCAAGTGTGGCCAGAGAAAAGCAGTGAGGCGCCACCACTGGACTTCTGGGGTCCCATTTTTGCTGGCACTGACGAAAAGTAGCCGGCGTAGATGCTCGGGTAACTGCAGTGTCCTGTTTAGTGAAATAGTTTGACATCGCAATCTTCTGGTCCCCATGGCGTACAACCGTAATGAAACCTTTACTTGTGCTCTGTAGTAGTACGTTTCTCAGAACATACTGAAGCAGACCGCGGAGTCACTACAAATGTAAGGCGGTGGGATGGCTTTCCCTTGTGCCTCAGATTTACCTGCGGGCATGAACATAGATACGCAAAAGACATCCAGCTCACTGAAAACGCTTAAAATGCGTCAATTGTTTTTCTTGACTCCAGTAGACTCCTGACGTCAGTGGTATGTCTATTTGCTAGGTCTCGGTATCCCGGTCATCCCACCTGATCCTCTGCTTTTCCAGCGAAAAACAGTTTGACCGCTTCAGGATCCAGCATAGTCGACCCTTTGCAGTGTCCCTGAGTTTGTGTAGGATCCCCCTCCGAGCTTCCAGCTGAAGGAGACCTTTTACTCGATTTTCCCTTGGATGGCCTGGAAGTTGAGTCCTTCCCACCGTCCCTTGCACCGTCATCATCCTTTTCCTTCAGAGCCATACTAGCGTTCCACTTCGCCAGCAATTTTTTAGTCTTGCCTGTTTCCCTAGCACGTGATACACTTCGCAACCAGTGAGCGCAGTTTTTGCCTTCTTCGTGGTCGTCTCCCCATTCATGTATGTATGCTTTTAGAGCCGTTTCCAGTTCGTCGATATCGTCGAAGTGCCTCCATGTGCTCTCCACCTCCTCAACGTTACTGTGTGGGGCATCAGATGCTCGGTCACTGTTGTCTTCTTCTGAAGCCGAGCGGCTACTAGGCGCTATGTTGCCTTCCTTGGTTGATTTCTGTTCGCGTGCGCCGCCTTTCTTTCGCCTTCGTTGGTGTTCAGAAACCCCCGGAACTGTACCTTTAACGTCCTCCCCAAAGAATCCAGCAATTGCGGCCTCTTTCTCCTGTTTCGTCTTGCAGCCCATAGAGTGTAAGAACTCATACTCTGCCGATAGCAGAACAATAGACTGGACATGCTGATGTTAGGTCAAGTGCTGCTAGCGAATTTGCTAAAGCTGTTTTACTGTGATCTGCCTTAGTTAGAGCAACGGAACGGAGTAAACGCAAATAGGTAGAGCAGAACATATAGCTACAATGCGAAACTGACCATCAGATCCAGGGACAGCATAGTCGACTGGTCCTTTGCCCGAAGGGTCCACTTCAGCAAGACAACGCAGCTCTAGTTTACGAAGAATCTTTTCCAGAACGGAAACTTTCATCTGCGTTGCATCCATCGAAACTTCATGCAACTACTATTGTACAGTTAATTACAGTTCGGTCAAATAATCCAGTGCCGTATGTGCCCTGTAGTACGCGACAAACAAATGACAGGCTACGCACTGCATTGCTCACTTTTGCTTCGACGGCAATTATGAGCGTGCTTTTCCCGTCAGTGCTCTTTACGGTTAAATCCACCGATGGCTGATCAATAAGGAAGTCGACCACCTTCATCTTCTGAAGCATCATTGCCGCCTGCAGGGAAGTGTACTTCGTACCCGTTCCCCTGAAATTGACACACCACAAATACCAGATACAATATTACAAGTTGACAATAGCTAAGCTACTGCATGAAACTTCCAGCGATATTCTATTAAAGCGAATTGCCCATTAAGGGTATGGCAAACACGCCAGGAAGAGTACAGAATCAGCGGGAGGCAAGTGCGGCTCACGAGGGGGTCACAAACACAAATGGTTTGCTCCAATAGGGCCGTTCAGCCTTGAGGCTCTCAATATTTTGCGAATTGATCGCCAGATACATGCGTTTGGGGTCTGGGCCAGCCATTGGCACCGATCGAACTACACTAAGTTCATCCTTATGAACCAGCACAATATTGCACCTGGATGCGGGCAATGCATACAAGCCCGTTTCATTCTAGTCTGATCTACACCATCCCCTATTAAAACAATCAGGTGTAGCCCCACGGGCTCAGCTCTGGTGGAGCAGCAAGCCTCCGTGGACCCGTGCGGGGTCGGCTAATTTGCTCTGTTCGACAAGAATGAAGGGACGCTCGTTGTGTTCCTGATTAAATGATCGATCGAGGCTTCAATTATTCGGTATGTGACTACTATGTTGTGATGGAAACGTATTTTTCTACCAGCGAAGCTAGCGGAATGCGTAAGGTGGCTGATGCTCGGATCGGAGCGGCTCAATCCGTTGACAGTGGTAACCTACTACACTTCCCTTGATCTCCCCATTGATTCACCCACCGTACTCTTTTGTGTTTACTAGTAGAATTGTTCGCTGATGAATGATTTGCCATTGCTGCTTTATTGCAATGGTGACGACTCTATGGAGGGTTCCCTTGGGCTGAATGAGGGAATACATGAGTAGCTCGTCAATAGCATAATTAATGCATCAACAATCGAGAGTCTAAGACTACTTTGAATATGCTTTTATATACAATCAAACCATGGGCTATAAACGCCGAGAAGTGCATCAGTACTCCTGCGGCATCCCGTCAAATGGATTGCCACCAAGCACGCCTTTAGGGGAATTCGTGGAACTATAACTCAGAGCAGCTTCATCAGAGTAATGCATACGCCAAACCTCTGCTGTTGCTCAACTTAGTGCCTCATGCTAAACCAGAATAGACAGTGGGTACATCTTGGCAACAAATAACCAAAGATCGCTCCATGCGCCATTACTCCCATATTGGTAGAAGTGCAAGCGGTTGATTCCTGGAATTTATAAGCAGAGGTAAAGACCCTTTTTGTTAGGACCGACATGGGTCAATACACCACGGCGCATGGTGAGGAGCTTTGAGTCAATCTGCAGATGCGGGTCCGTAGATTTCGAACCCCAGCTTTTAGTTTGCAGCCACTGGGTTGGTGGCCGTGTGAGATCCATACTCCTGGTACATACGTAGTGGAGTTTAGCACTTTTGGCTCTAGGTCCTGTTGCAGTCGGAAACTTTTTGTGTGCAGATAGCCTAGGACGGTAGAGATATTCTACCAGCGTACCACGTATAGTTTTTAGTAGGCCACGCTACACTGAAGATGCACTCAGTACTATACTACGTGATAGTAAACTAAACAAAAGCCAAATTTCTTAGTCTGTTTGCATACATTTTTCATTGCATAGTAGCTTTAGGTCGGTACAAAAAAGCACAACAAACGTGTGCCCACGCCGAATGCAACGAACAACTAGCTATAAAGGTTAAGAGTGCAAGGACGGTGTCGCAGCGCGGATTCTATCTGTCTTTCTCCTCCATCGGAGCCCTGCGGAGCCCGGAGAGGGTAAACGGGTACTTTTTGGAAAGGACTCTTCAATAATCACATTTGCTTTTAGTTTGCAGTCAGGTGTCGGACCAGGAGATCCTAAACGGAGTTACATCTAGTAGCCCAGCAAAGTTCGAACAATTTATCCACTGGTTTTGTGTGCAGGGTGATGTCTTGTTCCCTCACGACAGCCCTCGAGCCTTGGCAAAATTAATTGGCAGTTTAATAGATTATCCTCCTTGGCGACAGCCTGGGGAAGTTGACCCTTTGTAATGGAAGTAAACGGAGGTGCAAAGCCTGTTGGGGCGGCAGGGGCCGGCCTGCAAGTCAATATGAGTTGAGTAGCTCCACAAGCGACAGCAAGGCATCCTAGTGGATAAAATCAAGTTTATGATTGCGCCATTGTTATGTCGACCAGTAAGACGGCGACCGTGACAATGGGCA